AAGGAAGGAAGGATGGATGGAAGAAGTTTATAGACTAATGAATAATGTTATACATTTTCCTGTATCTTTTCAGCATGTATGAAGGCACTAGACTTAGGTATCATTCTAGATGGTTCTGGTAGCGTCAAACAATCCAACTTCCAAAAAGCCCTCCAATTCCTCTCAACCCTAGTATCACACTTAAGAGTGTCCCCAAGTGGAACGCACGTGGGAATGATAACATACAACAGCATTCCAACACTGGAATTCACTCCTGCAGAAACCCACTACCATCACCTGACACCACTAAAGCATCGTATTGGATTGGTAAGGTATAGAGGAGGATGGACATTCACGGATAAAGCCTTGTCATTGGCTGGTCAGTCCTTATTTACAACACATGGTGGAGATAGACGTGGTGTACCGAATGTTCTTATTGTGTTGACAGATGGTATGACGAGCTCATCAAGTGTTCCATATCCTGAGGTTCTAAAGCCACTTCAGGTAGGTGATGTCTCGTTGACCGACTGACCGACCGACCGACCGACCGACCGACCGACCGACCGACCGACCGCTAGCTAGTAAAATATCCTATCTTTGATACAGGCGAAGGGTGTGCGAATATTAGCAGTTGGTATCGGTGTTGGGGTAAGGTATATAGAACTGCTACAGATTGCAATGGGAGACCCTCACTACGTCGTACAAGTGCCCAACTTTGATGCCTTGAAGAACAAGATCAATACCATTCTGGATAAAACCTGTAAAGGTAGGCAGGTCTTGAAGTAATTAGGATAGCTGTAATACAGCGTGTCTCGATCTCACCTCTGGGGTTTCGGGTTCGAGATCCTGTACTCGACATCACATGTGAATAGAGTTTATCGATAGTCTTCCTTGATTTGAAGTTTTTTCTCCGTTTCCTCCGCTTTTCCTCAGTCTGATATTTTTTCATTTCTTAAAATACCGCTGTGTTCGTTGACTATGTTTATTTACTCAGGGTTAGCCTCATATTAGCATCAAAATATTTACACAAATGCCGATGGTGAAGCAAAGAATGCACAACTTCAACGATACAAACACTTTGAAATTCCACGGACCTTCACGGGAACACGTGAATGAGCATGAATGATGCCCAAGGCAAAATTAGAGACGATACTTTAATGAATCATAAAAATACTTCGTTCTTTACCATTAATTGCGTTAATTTATATTTTAACATTTTTCTTAGAACTAAAACTTAACCTTTGTTAACAGCCCAACCCCCAACAGCCCCAAGCCCTGAGTGCCTGAAGAAGGAACCCTTAGGAATGTCTAACGGCGGCATCCCGTCTGCATCTATCACGGCATCCAGTCAACTAAGCAAGAACAATGGACCTGAATTAGCTCGCTTAAATCTAAAACAAACGGGTGACAAAGCAGGCGGGTGGAGTGCCAAATACAACGACCCCGAACAGTGGCTCCAAGTAGATTTTGAAGAACCGGTCAAAATTACAAAAATTACTACTCAAGGGAGAGAGAAAGGCAATCAATATATGACGTCATACTGGCTGTCGTACAGCGAGGATGGGGAATATTTCGAAGCCTACAGGGTTAAAGAAAAGATTGTGGTAAGATTTGATTGGTTGTGAACTGAATTCTTTTCTGTACATCCCACATGTCCTTATATTTTACGTAGGTACATTCCCGTGTGCAGTTCACAATGACATTTATCATTGTTAAAAAAAAGATATAACTACCTAAAAACTAGTGTGAGCTGCGTCGGTGTTTCTAATGAAACAGTAATGATGAAAAAGTAAATTATACACCGTAAAAAGATGTAAGTTTTTTCATCTTTTCACGGTGTATAATTTACCTTTTCATCATTACTGTTAAAAAAAAGGTTGAGAAAGCATCCAAAATCTTTCAGGGACTCGAGATAGTTAGTTCAGGGTTTGGATCTAAAACTCGTATTCCTCGAGAATAAGTTTCTTCGTTTGGATTTCACTGAAAAACGATAATACTCAAGGGAAGTACACGTGGTCTGAAATCGAGGAAAATACCTTTTTTTAACACGTTGGACAATTATTCACGTCTCTATCATTGCAAGCTCACCGTTCATCTCGCTTCGATGCAAAGGCACGGCTACCTTTTAAGATAGGGAACTTTGAAGGGGCTATTGGAAGTTCCACTCATTGATGCACTGTCTTTGTGTTTAGATATTCAAAGGAAACCACGACGGCACGAGTGAAAATCCTCAGGAACTCAAGAATCAAGTTTATGCACGATACGTGCGGATTCATCCCAAGGCATGGAAGGGTCACATCTCTTTGAGAGTTGAATTCTATGGATGTAGGACAGGTAATGTAACAAACATATACCACCGTGAACATGACGTGTCATGGTCACGTGGCGTGACATGGTCACATCTCCTTGAGAGTTGAATACTATGGATGTCTGGATGTAGGGCAGGTAATGGTTTGACCGCGAAGTGCTGTGTCCGAAATTTCTCGCGCTGCCATTGGAGAAACGAATGTTGTCTAATCCTTACTATGACTGTGTGTGCTGTGTGAGGTTGGTTGTATTATAAGCACGGTGGTGGCTCAATAGACCCTTTTGGAGTTCCAAATTACTGCTGTGTTTCTTGATTACAGACTCATTTGCACAGGGTTAGCCTCGAGTTTGTGCAGAATATTCACGTGTTCCAGTCAAGGTCCGTCGAGTTTCAAAATGTTTGTATTGTTAAAGTTGTGCATTCTTTACTTTACCGTTGGTATTTGTGAATATTTAAACACTGATACGAGGCTAACCCTGTGCAAATGAGTCTGTAATCAAGAAACACAGCGGTAATTTGGAATTCGAAACTGGAGTATTAGTGGATATAAAATGGAAGTGAAATCAAGCATGCAGACAGACAGACAAATCAAAATTATTTTAGACCAAAGACTTACAGGAAGATACAAAGTAAATAGCACAAAATGTCATTTAGCAAAAGTGCGATTTCTTTTGTATCTTACTGGTATTTAACTGTTCTCGGTATGCTAAATAATGAAAAAGCTATACATTATAGGAAAAAACAAAAACAATCATAGCAAGGCAAGGTTTCGATCCTTGGACCTCTGGGTTATGGGCCCAGCACGCTTCCACTGCGCCACTCTGCTTTCATATGTTGTGTTATCATTTGTTTCGCTAATAAATGGTTCATGCAAAAGTAATTTTTAAAACGTTCTACAAAATATTGTACCTCTACCGTTTTACCATTGTAGCCGATATAATAAATCCATAATTTGACTTTCTTAATAGTCATTTTCTTAGAGTTTCTTGTAAGATATCCTGCGCACCTAATACGTGTTTGCGTGTGTATTTAGTATCAGTTTAACCTTATATAACCTTATTATTTAACCTTATATCTTTATAATTGATCATTCCTTTTGCTACTCGTGGTCGATAAGTGCGTCCTAGAGGATCCAGATTCGCTATTCTGTTTCAATTTTGAATGAAATGGCAATAAGAGTGTAACGCAAACTGCCGATCTAAAGTTACTTGAAAGAAAGGCTGTTTTATTTTCCAGGATTCATTACCCCTCCAGTCGTACCATGCTTCAAGAGACTAGGCATTGAAAAGGGAGAGATCCTTGACTCCCAGATCACAGCCTCCTCTCAGTACAGCAACCAAACCGGACCAGAAAATGCAAGGCTGTACCTCCACGCAGAGGGAGCGCGGAAGGGGGGCTGGGTGGCAAAGATAAATGACGCTGACCAATGGCTTCAAGCAGACCTAGGGCCCGTCACGAAAGTTAACATTATTGCCACCCAAGGAAGACAAGATGATAGACAGTGGGTAAAGAGTTATTCTGTGTCATTCTCTCAAGATGGAATTTTTTGGGAGGATTATAGACAGAGAAACAGAACGACGGTAGGTAAAAGATTTTCCTATTTATGGTCCCGACTTTCCTTAGTTATCGTTGTTATGTCCCACAAGCTTAACAAATTAGAGAGTTTAGATTGACTTTTTTTCTCAGCGCATAGTTTTCATAGTTTTCGTGTATTTTACTTTACCTTTTACAAACCTTCTCACCAAGCGCAAATACTCTTTTGTTTTTCTACTACTTGGACTTTTTTGCGATTCTTTTTCAGTAATTTAAAAGAATTTTTTACTGGTCAACTGACGTTTCACGTTTGCCGTGAACGTAAATCTAAAACTCTCTAATATCTAGAATATCTCAGAACTTAAAACTCTGATCGTGGAAAGTAGATTATAAATTATTTCAATACTTAACTATCCTGCGAACAGAATAGAAAATTGTCTGGTACTCCTCGTAGTACTCTTTAAATCAGATGTTGTGTAGTTGTTTGTGGAGCAAGATTATAATTCCACTGAGAAAAACTACTGCAACGGTAATCGGTTCGCTATTGTCTGAGTCGGAACCATGAATTGATTATGAACCACGTCACAAGGCCTACCTAAAACATTTTTGAGTATCACCGTCTTGCGAACGACCACTACGAGTGTGAGCACTTCTCGTTAGCAACCGTCCTGTTTATCCACCTGCCATAAGGGACCGCTAGGTGTGGCAGCCTCTCTTAAGCAACTATTATGTGTTACCGCGTGTAGGCAAACTGTCACCTCTTGCAGGTGTCAACCTACTCTATTATTTCCCTTACTAACCGACCTTATGCTTTGATCGGTCACTTCTCTAGTCCAACCACCGTTTGCGCATGATTTACCACGGCTCTCTTGTTCTCTCCCTTGCCACGAGGGTTTTTCTCCAGGTTCTCTGGTTTTCCTCCCTCTGTAAAAATCAACTTATGAGTTTAGTGTTGCATGTCGTAAATATAGAATGTAGTGGTAGTGCGTGTGGAGGGAACAGAAGAGCCCCTTTACTGGGAATAGTGATTGTAAAATGTAAGATTTTGTAACTCTCTTGGTTTATTCCTAGATATTTTCTGGGAACTCTGACAGTCATTCTGTCGTGCATCAAGTACTTAATCCTCCTGTCTACGCCAGACACATAAGAATCCATCCAAGGAAATGGCATCAGAACATAGCAATGAGGATGGAGTTTTATGGATGTAGATCTGGTAGGTCTTTAGGAGCTCACAGTGGAACCATCGTGGATTCAGACTACGTGTTGTTCCCTAGAGTATCATTTCTTTGTTTAACGGTTGTGCATGAGAAGACACATGAATATAGATGCAACTCAAACAAAGAATCTTATTTTCAAGAGAATGACACGTGGTCTGAAATGGGAAAACATTACGCCCAAGGTAAAGAGGTTTATAAACCAATTCAATGGTCTATTGTTTCAGACTATGAGTCATTCCCTAGAGTATCATTTCTTTGTTTAATGTTTGCACATGAGAAGGCATATGATAATTATGAATATAACTCAAAAACGAATCTTATTCTCATGACGCGAACGTCTGAAATGGGAAATATACTTCGCCAACGGTAAAGAGATCTATCTAATATATTTGTAGGATTTGCTATGCCACCAAGTCCTTCATGCGTGCAACCGCTGGGCATGATGACTGGGTCTATCCATAATGCACATATCACAGCATCATCGTACCATGATCAGCAGACTCAACCTTTCTATGCGCGGCTGAGGATGCCTGTCAGTTCATGGACGGCGAAGGTAAATAGTAATGCATTAAAACTATATTTAATGATGATGATGATTGTTTTAATGATATATTAAATCAAAAACATATTAAATGATCGGTACCTTGTCCAGATGTTAACTTCTAACTTGAAGTCCTAACTTGACCTCTTGAGACGAAATTACTTAAGCACGGGCAACTGCCACGCGTCCCAAACTAAATTAATGAAATCTGATACTCACTTAAGAAAACAGTGACTGTGTTGCGTGACATCAGTCACAGTCGATGTTGATGATGGTGATGATAATGATGATGATGATGATTGCGATGGTGATGCTGATGATGATAATAGAAATAAATAAAAAAATATGGGAAATTGACCGTGGTTTCACAGTGTCTCTTCTTCCACTGGTGATGATGATGATGGTGATGCCTGATGATGATGATAACAATCTCTTTATCTTAATAATCTAGACCAATGATGTCGGTCAATGGCTGAGAGTTAATCTTGATCGCGTCACCAAGGTAACCAGGATAGCAACCCAGGGCTCCTTTAACACTGACCAGTGGGTAACGTCGTACACACTTGAGTACAGTCTTGATGGTGGTCACTACTACAAGTATTGGTATGGTCGCGTGTTTAAAGGAAATGACGACAGGAAATCTATATCAGGTACAGATGAAAATACATTTGAAGTGATCTAAACAACTTGCAGTGTAAAGAATTATAAACCTACTCTTGGCCTTTGTCTCCGCGAATGAAGGCAACATTGAGCAACATTGGGCAACATAAAAGAATTAATGGATGGACGTAAATAAATAAATAAATGAGTGGGTGAGTGAGTGAGTGAGTGAGTGAGTGAGTGAGTGAGTGAGTGAGTGAGTGAGTGAGTGAGTGAATGAATTGATGAAAGAATGAATGGTGGACGGGGAAAGAAAGGAAAGGAAAGGTTTGGATGGATACACAAATTTTTTCATCATGTTTTCCTGTTGTAGGCCACGTTTTACAACCTATTTTGATCACAAAGTATCTCCGGTTACAACCAAAGACTTGGCACGGTGCTATATCGTTAAGAATGGAGTTGTACGGCTGTCAATCAGGTGAAAATGCTTAACTATTGGTTATACACCTATTTGGGATTTCCATTTGAATAAAAAGACCTTTTGCCTCCCGTCTAGTGCAAAATATTCCTCAGTTGCACGAATCAAAAGGTTTCAATGCAGCTCTTAATTCTGGCTAACAAAACATGGTGATCAGTGTTTCACCAACATTTGAAGCAGATTGTGAGATTCAAATCTAATTATGATAGCACAGAAATTGCCCACGAACGCAGGTTTCACTAGAAAATACTCTTTCCACGCTTTTAATACTATATAACTTTGAGCCGCTTACTTTAGCATGGCGCAGCTTTGCATCGAATATAATAAAATACCTGGTCACAGTTCTTATTATTATTTTCCTTGTTTCCCACGTTTTTATATTGGCAGGAAAGTTTTTATAAAATGATTGTTAATGTTTTTGTCTTTCCTCAGAATTCACTCCTCCGTCTCCAGAAGAATGCATGAAAGCGTTTGGACTCGAAAACGGTGACGTCATCGACGCGCAAATCACAGCCTCGTCCCAATTAACCGCCACATCCGGGCCATCACAGGCCAGATTACATCTGCATCCGGGACCTGGCAAAGCTGGAGGGTGGGTCGCGAAAGATTCGAACAAAGATCAATGGCTGGCGGTAGATTTTCTACGAATCGTCAAAATAAGTCGCATTTCTAGCCAAGGCCGGCAGGATGAGGACCAATGGGTGACAAGTTATGGGATAGAGCACAGCAAAGATGGAATTTCGTATAAAGCGTACCAAGACGATAAGGGAAGAGAAAAGGTAACTGTAGATCCTGAGGAGAATCCAGGGTTATTCCATCATGTATTGCAAATGAGATATAACATTCTCCATTAAAACAGCGAAAATTAAGGAATTGAAAAATCAAGTGTATTTTAGTAGAATGCATGTAAGGGCTTTAAGAGTTTTTTTTGCAAGAAATTTAGACGTACTCGTCAAAAAAACTGGTGTACTTTTAGTACTTTCAGGTTCAGTACAGATCCTAAAACTGGCTACTTATCAAATGCTAGAGCAATTCTGGGATACTTTGGAGTACGTTTAGGTTCAGTACAGACCCTACAACTGGCTACTTTTATTTGCCAAATTAGTCGAACATGTCTTCATCAAATGCTAAAGCATTACGCTTAGTTTTAGTATTATAAATAAATATATAAACCAGTCGAAACCAAAGAAAACAATATTTTGCTCGCAAAGGTCAATCTGGTGTTTAACGAGCCGGATCATGCGTACTATGAAGTTACTCAAATGCCTACGTCAATATTAACACCAGTTTCTTACAACAGATATTAGTTGGAAACGTTGACCGATATGAAGTTGTTAGTCATGTGCTAAATCCACCAATCACTGCACGGTATATTCGTATTGTTCCCAAGACATGGTATGGCCGTATTGCTATGAGACTTGACTTTTATGGCTGCATTCCTGGTATGTATGGAAGCACTCAGACGTGGGTATGGCTGGATTTGAATAATAATTTTCGTTTTTCCTTTGTGGCTGTGGCTGTGGCTGTGGCTGTGGCTGTGGCTGTGGCTGTG